CCTAAAACTTCGCCAATTACAACGAGTAAGTATGCGATTCCGTCCGATCGGAATCCATGTGATTTAAGTGTCTTGATTATATCTTTTTCTACAATACCGATACTATCCTGGCAAATTAATAGACGTTTGTTTTCATCATATTCCTCTGAAAGAACTTTGATGAACTCTTGATATTTTTCGCCATCATATGCACTTAACGCTTTATTTATGAGCTTATTGAGTCTTTCTCGAACCCTTGGTTCTCTAAACATCTCATCGCCTTTTTTGAACAGGTAATAACCATAACATAACCCTGCAACAAGACAGGTTGTTCCTGCAAATAATCCTAGCGGTCCAGCAAGTGCAAAGTTTACTCCAGCGGTTAATACTACTCCTAATCCTCCCGCAGAAACTGCAGCTCCTTTAATCTTATACGATTTTGCATGCTTTATGGTCTGCAAAATCTCTTTATATGATGTTTCATAACAAACTAACCTCCGTTCCGCCTTAACAAGTAATTTAGAAGCCGTGCTAATTAAATTTTTATTGATTGAATTCTGAATAACTGCTTTATTACCGAGAGAGAGCTCTTTTTTATCATTTGTTCTTATTAAAGACATTGCATTAGTAAGGTCACTCTCTAATTTAGTATCAGTATTCGTGTCGGAAGACACTCCTTCTTCATCCCTTTTTACCTCCTCTTTTCTGCTATTAACTTTATCAAGTACACTTTTTGTATAATCCAATTCTTGTTGCGTAAAATTAGTTGAATTTTTTACTTGTAAAAGAATTGCAGCTAAAGCATATAACGGTGCTTCTAGAAACTTATTTGTGTGATATAAGCACAAAGCCATATATTCTCTCAATTTTACTTGTTGTTTTAGCAGTTTAGCTCTATCCGCAATTTTACATGCTGCTCGATATTGATGGTAAGCCAATTCTCCATAAATCATGCTATGCTGCTTTAATGACTCAGAAGGGAGCTCTTTGACAATTTCTTCTTTTAATTCTTTTAGTTTATCCCATTGTCCTTTTGATGCGTTATTATAATCAAGAGTAGTTATCCAAAGTTCACGTCCATATTGTACATAGTTATCTAGTTCTAAAGTTTTTTTCAACTTATTCAATAAATGTTCCTTAAATCCTAGAATAAGTTTAAATAATTCATCGCCTTGACTTTTATGTTTGTCTCGAAGCATATATGGACTTGTTGGATTTTTTGTTTTATCTGGATGAAACCATGAACTAAGAATTCTAGCGCGTTTATTAATTTCTTCCTCTGTATTTATAACATTCCTAAACAATATCTCTAACTTATTTGAAGAATCCGACAAATATGAAACAATTTCTATTCTTTTTGAATATGCTGCGTCATGTGCGAATGCTTCTAAACATCTCAAATGGCCTATCAACTCAATACTAACGTTTTTAATTTTTGAAGACTTATTGTCATGTTTTTTTTCACTATTACTATTACCTTTTAAAACGATTAACTTTTCATGAACTAAGCCTTCTACTATTCTATTCATATAAATCTCACAATCTATTGCTTCTCGATAACCTTCAAAGGTTTTGGGTACCTTGCTAAGTTTTTCAAAAACCCGTTTTATCTCACTAATAAGTGTTTCTACCACATCACTTTCAGTCAATTCATCTTTTAAAATTGGTCGAATCTGGTCTAATTCTTTTAAAATTTTGTTTTCAAGATTACTATCCTGATTATCAGCACTTGATTCTACATCAGTCGCATACAATACGGGTTTCATTTCCTCAGTATGAGCATTCACAAACTTTTCATATTTTTTCGCTATTTTTTCGTGTTTATTGGCACCTTCTTCATCACCAACTACGCTTAGATAGTTATGATAAGTTGTATGATATTTGTATTTATATGAGTTATGTTGATAATTATTATCGGCTTCCAATTCATTAATTAATGTGAATGTCTCTTTGAATTTTTGTTCAATATCCGACTGATTTTGGATGCCATCTTGGAATTGAGATTTTATTAAAGTATCTATATTTAAAAAACAAGCGTCGATTTGAGAGACCATTTTGTTATTTTCGTTTTCTTTTTTCATCACTAAAACTATTGTATCTGATAATAAATTTAGTACAGTTTTTTATCGTTGAGGACGGAAATATTGTTGAGTTTTTAAATTATTCTTATCTGAGAACCTAGCCGTATTTACTATCACTATTGAATGTTTTATATTGTTATTATATTGATCTATGCAAACGCTTTATGCAATTGAACTAATTTATAAGCTTTATGCAATTGAACCAATTTATAAGCTCTATTCCTAAATTTCTATCTCACGCTTCCAAGTTAGTACACTTGCACAACTTAAAACAATAAGGCTGCAATAAAGAACTGCAGGAAGCTTGAAAAAATTCTGTGCCAAGTTTTGTTGATCATTGGCCTAGAATGATTGACATCGGCTTGCATTAAGTTAATTTGAGTTAAAGTTAGGGTGAGTTAGGTTGAGTTAGGTTAGTTAGATTAGGGTTAGATACGAAATTAAAGTATAGCCAAAATTGCGAGTGGAATTTTCTTTGTTAGGAAAGAAAAGTTGTTACATAGGTAAAATTATTTTGAGATAGAAAAATTTTTTTCTCGTCGACAAAATCACGATTTTTTTTTATGCCTGCAGATCATTCAATTGTGCCTCAATATGGAATAATTAAAGTGCATATTCTC